GGGGGGAGGGGGGGGGGGGAGTCTGGGGAGTGACATACAGGCCGTAATGATTTAAAGAAATGTGCAAAATCAGGAGCCGACTTCTTCACAACAGCTGCTCTCTCGCTCTTAATTTGTCCACAGTGCATTTCATCTGAGTGCTAAATGTTTAGCGATGCCTTGACAGTGTTAACGAAGGAAACCATATCCACCAATCATTGTCTTCAAATAGTTCTTATGTACAAACAAAAAAAATGTGTTTCCTCTGTTTTTGCCATGAAAGATAACGATGATGTGCTGAACATCAAAAGTGTCCAATTATCATGTGATTTTGGTTGAAAAAGAAAATCTGATTTGTCTCTCACCCGGCATCTGGTCCGTGTTTCATCGTCAGACGACCGCGAGTTTGTTTGACTCCACATCCAGTCGTTTCATGTCTGCTTGGTTGAATCAGTGTTGATCATCAGGAGAGAACCACATCCCCCAGCTCTGCAGAAAAAAAACACACACACACACGCCACCTATTTCAAATCCCTGAAACTGTACATAGATATATTTATTTTTTTGAATGAAAAAAAAAGGAAAAGACAGTTGGATTTGAGATGCTGGGACGTAGGACTGTCCCCGCACGGCTGAGGGGACACGATGGTATTTATTCTGTTAAATTTCCAACTCATTGTTCACATCAATCCACACACACAGATGCCAAAACACACACGTCGTATTCCGCTTTAGACCCCCCCTCAACCCAGTACCCCCCCACCCTCCCCGGTTCTGAGTTGGACTGGGTCGCAGCATCTTGGCTCTCGGCGGGAGTCAAATTGCAATATCTCAATAAAAAGTTCGCCGACTGAAACGTGTGAAATAATACGCAGCTGTCTCGCCATTTCAGACAGATGGAAGCGTTTGGAGATGGCGCTCTAACGGCGTCTCACCCCCCGACATTACAGTAATGGGTTCAGGGCTGCGACGCTGTTGTATCTGAACGGCTTCTTTAACAGCTTGGTTTTGGGGTTAGACAGCGTGGCAACAGGAAATTTACCCCCCCACTCACCACCCCTCGACAAATAGACTGTATATAAGAAATGGACTGATCAGTACCTGAAGAGAGAAACTAGAGATTGACTGAATGAAGCTTTGAAAAACAACGAATCTGTTGGAATAAAAACATAAAGACGACAACAATTACGGCTTCAAACTAAGAGCTAACAACAATTAGCTGAACCAAAGTTATTAAAGTTTTAGAAAAGAAAATCCCTTCCAATCATATTTCATTAGTAGAGTTACACATGGTTTCCATCCCCTAGTGGTCACTATGAGTAACTGACAGGAAATGTTTACAAAGGCTTAAAAATGTAGTATTTCAAATTTAAGAGAACTGAATAGAATGACTGACCATAATTAAAAACAAATTACAAAAAGATTTAGATGTATCCAAACATTTAAAAAATCTCCTACAGAAAATGACAGATATTCATAAATTAGCAGAATTAAATCCTTTCAAAAAACACTTCACTCCTGAAGTGATTTGGTTTCCATCCCTGGTGGACACCATGTGTAACTGACAGCAGCCTTGTCCAATAGGAGCCTGGCTTTGTCCATTTCTTATAAACAGTCTACAGTTGGAGATGGAGAGGAAACAAAGTGAGAAAGAAGAACCACAACGTCTACTAGAACCTTGTTCTTTAACCTGGAGAACGTTGGTGCAGATGTTTTTGTGGAGAAACAAAAACATCTGCACCCCCCCCCCTCCCCCCGCCCACATTAGTTCTGGAAACTGGTTGTCACTGGTTGTCTTAATTTGTGCCTTTGAATTTTAATTTAGCCCTTTTTTTTCCCCCAGTTCCGTTTCCAGTAAAACAACACAAACACACACATATACACTGGATTAAACACAGCTTCCATTGTCTATGTTACACACACACACACAGAAACACACACACAGCCTGGTGTTTTTTGGTTATCATTTTGTTTTGGACACTGTTGCTATAGCGACCACGCATGACCACTTCCTGTTTGGGGGGATTATTTATCAGTGATTGGCTGTTTCACGTCTGTGCTGACGCCTCCTCCTCCTCCTCCTCCTGCCGTGTAATTAACAGAGGACTTTTATAGAGGTCACAAATGAAATAGATAAATGCCAATTTTGTAAGAATGATTTATAAAAAATAAACTCATATTTGATGATACGTTTGTTTGATGCTGTGCTTCTTTGTTTTTTTAAGATAACACCTTGATCATAAACATATAAATACATATATGTTTGCATATATGTATGTGCATATACTTACAGTTATCACAAATTATGGGTTTAAACTAAAAAAGTGAAAATTCAGATTTTCAGATGATTTTAAGATAAATATATTTCTCACAATTTTTTTTTTTTTTGCTACTTTTTAATTTTTTTTTGTCACTGAAATTCTTCCCCTAAATTGACTTCTGTAGATGAAGACGCCTCAGTGAGGGAGCAGGGACAAATCAATATTCCATTTGTTTGGTGAGGATTTCCATTTTCCGATCAATAACGGAGGATGTAGGCTGGCCTTATTCAATTGAACAGCTTTACCAGCGACAGTACGAACGGCGTTTTAATGGTGCAGTACATGAGCTACTGGGATTCACTGGTGTAAACAACACCAGTGTGTGTGTGTGTGCATTAGCATAGACAAATAGAGAACGCAGTGCATTGTGGGATCGATCGGCACTGACCTGATAAACGTAGCTGGCACAGCTGTGAGGTCATCGGATATTCAGCTACATACGGCGCAAATGACTCGTCTTCTCCGACGGTGGACAGGATCTGCAGAACGGAACGAAAACAGGTGGTTTTTAAGAAGAAAAAAAAAAGTACGACAGAGTTTGAGGTCACACTGAGAAAAACTGGCAAAGAAGCTACAGGTAATTAATGAAAATAAAATAAAACAAATAATAATGTTTACGCATTAACATAAGAGTTAGGCTGCAGAAATGGTTGTTCACTAACTTTGTTTCCTCTCATGATATTTGAATATTTATATGCCAATTTTATACATATATACACATATATATATACACATATATACATGAGAGGAAACAAAGATTGTGAACAAACATTTCTGCAGCCTCACTGAGGATGCGACTCGTCTCGGTGCTGATGACAACACAAGGTCAACAGTTAGAAATCATCCACACGAGCTGATTAAAAGAAAATTACAGCAGCTAACAATCAAGAGTGATTGAAGAAGTTCCTTCTCTATTTTTCTTTTCTCTAAACACTGACAATTTGTGTATCTATGTTTTTTTTTTACTGCCTTCGTATCGACGTGAGCGTGTGAACCCCGCGCCCTCCCATCGTCTCGGTTGTTTTCCTGCGAGTGTGGACGACTGGTAATTCTCTGACCTCTGCTCCAGCTAAATGAGAGCATCCTGCATTTATAAGAATAGCCTCACAACGCTGCGGAGAGATAGGGTATCATAACCACAGCACTATTAGACCACAGGGGGGGGGGTTATTGCTCACATTGATTTTTCTTCTCCGTTGCAGAGCTGCTTCTGTCCTACAGTGTCTCCCTGAGGACAAAGACCCTGATACCTGCTCTGAAATACTGAACATTTACATGTAAGACAACTGCCCCGTCACATGACTGCCACCGCAAAACCTGCTGAGCAACAGAGTTCGTATTTCTACCCAGTCATATTTGGTTTATGAGGCTAAGAAAATTAGCCGACAATAGCGGACAAGCCACAACACATCAAAAAACTATTTATAGAGCAGTGAGTCATTTATAATAATTTAACTTACACTACAAATATATATATATCTCATCTCAATGTTAACATCCAATGAAATCTAAAAAGTCCATCTGACTTCATCATCTTCATCTTCCAGATTTTCTACGCCTCTGTGGAGAACGTCCTGTGACACGTCGGAGCCTCGGGTCTTAATTTTCTGATTTGTCAGACTTTCAGGCCTGACCATTAAACAGTCTGTGCGCAGCTACGATCTATGACCACCAATAAAAAAACAAAAAAAAACACGTGACGTGTGCGACTTGCGTCACAGCCGGTGACGAAGACGAACTTATCTTTATCGTCATCGTTAATGAAGCGGTTGATGACACCGTCTTCATTTGGAGTTCTCTTCTAAACGAGTGTGTTTCAGGCTCAGGTTTTCAGGCTGTTTCTGTGACGACGTCATTAAACGAGAGCTCCAAATTCACTTCCTGCCAAAAACCCAAACGTTTGAAGCTTCATCTGGTTTTTCTAATTAAAAATAACTCTATTTCTAAAAAGCACCAGAGAACCAAAAAGCCTAAGGAGACGCATTTAAACACATTTAACCCTCTGAAAAAATAGAAACTGTTATTTTTTACTCGGCTGTTACTGAAACAAAAAAACTCTATTATGGCCAAAATGTTCATCAGAAAGTTAATTAATGGATACAAATATATTGAAAGGTGAGCTGTGGGTGGAATAAAATCTCTAAAATACTAAAATTGTTTAAAAAATGCAACACATTCAGTGAGTGTAAAATCAGAGAGAAGAGGTTCTGCTGTATCTTCACTCTTCCACAAATCTTCTGGTTCCTTCACAAAGTTCTACAAAGTCTCATTAAAGTGACCAGTGTTTGTGTTTCTTACCAGAACTGAGACGTCCTCCGTCCATCCGTCCGTCCTCTGGATCGATGCTGTGGCGACAGAAGCCTCAGGTGCAGCTTGAACCAAGGGAACCAGGCGTCGCTCCTCCTCCTGCTCCTGCTGCTCCTCCTGTGACTCGTGGGCCACAAGACGACAGACGTGCAGCGTCCTCCGGGATATTTCCTCCCAGTCCTACGATCTCCCAAAAACTGTCCAGTGGAAGTGGCCTGTGAAAGACTCCTGTGAACATCTGAACAACGTTAACGTCAGGTGTGAGGCAGGAAGAAGCAGCAGCTCCTCAGGAGTGAGACCAGGCGTGGGCAAACTTTGTGACTCGTGGGCCACAACTGTCCTAAAATTGTGCAAACTAAGATGAATGGAAAAAAATATTTGGAGAAGTTTGGCGGGCCGGATTAGAAAGCTGAACGGACCACATCTGGCCCCCAGGCCTTAGTTTGCCCATGCCTGAGTTAGAAGGTCTGAGGATCTAGGAAAGGAAATGTGACCTGTGTTTATAACCCATCACCAAAGTGAACAGCGGCAGAGGCAGCAGTGTGTGGGGACGGTGCCTTGGCAGCTGGTGGACTCGAACCTGAAACCTTCCAGACCCGAGTCCGTTTCCCTTAACCACTAAGCCACCACTGCCCCACATTTAGACAAGACACCCATCGTCACTGTGCATTTGTCAAAAACTAAACTATAATAATCTAGATAAACCAAACCGACTAAAACAATCGAGTCAACGACAGAATCTAATCTCTAATCTAATCAAACATCAAAATGGAGTTTAATCCACTCTACTGTAATCTAATTTAATTTAACCTCATCTACTCAACTGTAATCCAATGTAACTTAATTATATCTACTCTGAAGTAATTGAATCGACTGTAACCTAATATACTTTAATCTAAACTACTATAACGTAATCTAATCTAATCTAAGATAATAGATTCTGATCTGAATTTGACAGCCCTGTCCTCGGCAGACATCAATAATCAAACAGGAGTTCGACTCGTGCTGGGCTAAAATGCTAAAATCAACGGTGGGAGCAGCTGACGGGTGGAAACGGAGTGGAATTAAGAAGACGATGGGATGAAGAGACGGTGCAGCTCAGCAGATCTCTGCAGACCTGACTTTATTTGACTTGTCAAATGCAGTCAGAGAGGAACACCAATCATCAAATAAAGACTCCTCTGATCAATAGAATAAAACTTTTTAGACCGATCTTCAGATTCGTCTCCTCCTGTGATTTCTTACAGAATCAGGATTAAATAATATATCAATATCTCTCTGTTGAGCCGAGGCCTAACAGCAGATGAAACACCAGGAAGGAAAGTCAGGAGTTTGGGATGAACCTGATGGAGGTAGACAGGATGGTTTCTGCCATCGCCTACGGCTTCTCCTCTCATTTGTCTCCCCCGTCTCCCCCACGTCTTTACTTACAAACAGGTGTCCTTCTCCGTCTGTAAAGTCCGTAAAGTGCAGCCTCAGCCGGACGGTTCTGCCCTGTTACACGTCCAGTAACAACAGCGTCCAACAATCCTGTCCATTCATCTGGATGAATCTGTGAGATGTGATGTGGTGTGTGTGTGTGTGTGTGTGTGTGAGACAGCTTCAGCTCCTGACAGCCAGCATGGAGTTGATCTCCCAGATGAGGTTGCGGAGTTGGTCCATGATCTGCTTCAGCTGCTGATTCTTCAGCTTTAGCTTCTGCAAGAAAAGAAGAAAAAGAGAGAGAAAAAAAAAGAATTTAGAAAAAGAACCAAAATTTGACATGAACTCATGTGAGAAATGTTAAAAGTCTCAGGAAGACGATCATGGACAATGTCCTGACAGAGTGAAGACCTGCAGAGACATTATGGAAACTTTGGAATTGTTTTGAAAATAATTGCAAAAAAAGTGAAAGATCCCGTGGGTTGAAAATAAATAATTCACTGGCATCTAAAATGAGTGTAAAAATTAGAAAAAAAGTTGTTGTTTTTTCTTGTAAACAACACAAAAAAAGACAAAAGTTCAAATTTTAACAATGGAAATTAGGAAAAAAAAATGTTTTTTTTTCTTCTAAACAACACCAAAAAAGACATAAAAAAAAGTTCAGATTTAAAAAATGTTATACTGTGCTAAATAGGTGTAATTTAAAAAAATAGATAATATCAACCAAACATATAGCAGCTAAAGATGCTGATGAAATAAATGTCAACTGAACAAGAGAGACATTTTGTAAAAATTTGTAGTGAGACATTTTTGATGAAAATAAAATGCAAAAACTTAGACAAGCTGTAGATAAAAATCCAAGAATCTCAAAGTAGGTCAGAGTTAGCCTATAAGCTAAAGCTAAAGATCCTGGTAAAGACCTAAAAAATGTTGTCAATCTTGATCCACATTTATATATTTTAACAGTACAAATCCTGGTGTCATCTACTGCACCCCCCCCCGACCCTCCAAACAGGAAGTTCTGCAGCAGAGAAGTTCCGTTACTTTATCCAGAAAAAAACCAGCCCAGGATTCAACATGTGGGAATCGTAAAGATGGCAAATAACTTTTATGACATCTCAATAAAATATTTATTGAGATGTTTGAGTCGCAGTAACGTACACAGAGCTGCGTTCTGTAAATCTACAGTAAGAAGGAGCCGGGGGTTGAGTGACAGGCCGGTCAAAGTGGAAACAGATACGAAGACACAGTGGAGGAGCAGAGACTGACGGGTGTTGATCGGCTGTCCACGGTCCTGGTCAGTTCACTGGTCAGTTCACTGGTCAGTTCACTGGTCAGTGTAGCAGTTAGCTCCCCTGTCTCTGAGCAGGCATTAATTATTATTACTGATGGATTATTTAATTGAAATTTAGGTCAAACTGTTATTCAGCTAATTTAAAACCACATTCTTTTTTTTTTAATTATGATTCTGTCGTTGAACCACATTCTTTTTTTAATTATGATTCTGTCGTTGTCATGTTGTTGTGGTTGACAAACACAAACCCAGATTTTGTTTTGTGCTAAAGCTAATGGTCCAAACAAAGACCCAGAGTCTGCACTTTAGTTCCTTTAAATAAATACTAAAAAAACTCTCTGTACTGTAGTCTTTGTTTATTTAAAAGCCACATTTTACTTCAGGTACTTTTCCCCCTCGCTCCTGTACCTCTGAATACTTGACTTAATCAAACATGGCCTCTAAACCAGGACATCTGCTCTGCTGCGGGGCGTCACAGGTGCTTCACAGAGCGGCCAATCCCTTCTCCCCGTCCGTCCGTCCGTCAGTCAGTCAGTCAGTCAGTCAGCCAGTCACAGATCATTTCTAAAAAAGCTTCAGAGATCTCTGAGTCAACAACAGTCGTGTGATGAAAAAAGTAACTTCCCTGTCTTTAAACACACAGGAGGGTGATGAAGTGGGGGGTGGAGGAGGATGAGGGGTGAGAGGGGGCGCTGCTGAGCTGTTGCTTTGACTGCTACTCTTGCTAATAAAAGCAGGTGCAACCGCCACGATTGTGGTTCATTCAAACCGGGAGAAGTCGGCCGTACTGAAAAGTTTGAGCAAATGTAGAAAATGTAGCACTTTAGACAAGTAGAGTTACAGAGAGAGGAGGGGAGAGAGGGGGAGAGAGGGGGAGAGGAGGGAGGATCTCCTTCACTGAGGTCTCCCTGTATCTGCAGTGCAGTGAAATCTATTAAGATTAAAACCGTCTCCGTCTCTCAGTAACACTCCTTTAGCCGTGACTAATTACCAGACATTTTTTTTGCGACGGAGATAACACCTTGAGCAATCGATTCCACACGGCTCTCTTAATATCACCGCTTTAGCTGATTGTCCTTGAAGAAATTCCAAAGTGGAATATTTGGAGGCCTTCCACTCTCCCCCCTCTCTCCCTCCCCCTCCGTCTCCTCCATCTTTGTCTTTTACTTTGATTCCTCAGAGTGACAGTGAGTTTCAGGCTAATTACGCCAACAAACAAAATCCTAAAAAAACTCGTCATTGGCTCCAAATGAAGGCTGTGATACTTCAACGCTCCAACTGTCACGTCTGAAGCATCAGCAGCCGCGGTATTTGATTATAATTGGATTATAATTGGTCAAATTTGGCTTGGACGTCCTTTCTCCTCAGAAAAAAAAAACAATATGAGAAAAGAGAAATGCTGTGTAGATGTTTAAGTAAAGTTGAGTAAAAGTTAAATAAAATTAACTTGATATAATTTAGGTAAAAGGACTGATTTCTTTTCTCTGGGAAATAGGTAGAAAAAAATAATATGAAACAACCTGAAGATCACAGTCGGGTCATAAAAAAAACGATGTTACGGTTAAAAGAGGATTAAAAGACGCTGATGTGAAGACGAAGGTTTAATTCTCCCACTTCCATCACATCCAGACTGCGGGGGCAGTAAAGCCCACACAACTCTCTCATTATGTAAAATGTGATAATGTCCATCTTGATATACAAATAAAAATGGGATTCAGCAACCTTCAGAACAAACTAATTCCATTCATCACCTCCTAAGTAGCGTATCTCTCAGCCTTCACAGCAATAATCTAACGTTCAAACAAAGAGCAGCTCAGCTCACACTCCTCTCTGTCTGAATGGAGACACTTTCACGGACACACTCACACACACAGACACACAAACACCTCCATGGGAATGGAGGAAGATGTTCCTCCTAATTTCTTGGGCTGCCACTCAACAGCCGGGCTCCACAATAATGTTTTGATGCCTCTCCAGCCCGCAGTGGGCCTCCGCTGACATGCTCTGACACCGCGTCGGCCGCGGCAGGGTGGCCAGTCAACAACTCATGAAAGTAAACAAGGAGGAGCGCTGTCTGAGATCCTGTCTCTGAGATCCTGTCTCCGACGGCCTCCTGCCGACAGGCAGCCTGTCTCCCCCGTCTCCTGTAACCTGGTAGAACTGGCACATGTCAGAACGCCGGCGGAGGAGAGTGCTGAGAAGAACAGTGACCCGTGTGAAGTGGAAATGGAGGCCGACGCAAATGGAGGGAGGGCTGGCTAGGAGGTGCGTGTGAGCGAGCGTGCGCGTGCACTCTGATCCGTGAAACGATTTGATCCATAAAACAGGCGGCAGCTGAGACACTGATCGGGCCACTGGTCAAGACGGACTAATCACACATCGGGTTTGTCTGCGTTTCATGAGCTACGAAAAAAAAAATGATGCCGAGAACGATCTGTGAATTTTTGTCAGAGTAACATCTTTTAGGACATCCTTCGAAATCTGACAGCAACGTCCAGCTCTTAAATACAATCCTTGCAAACTATACCATGAGCAATAAACATGTTTATGAAATCTAACTATGAAAGAGAAAACAGCTTATAAATTGTACTGATATAACATTAAAATATAAAAACATTGAAAATAATTCACTCTGCTAAATACAAAGCCAGTCCTTTGTACTGTTCATAACATATATGCATGAATATGAAGTACAATATGACATACTTTTTCTAAAGATACTAATTTCTGGTGCTGGTTTGTAATATTGTTTAAATCAGACCTGGGCAAACTACGGTCCGTGGACCAGATACGGCCCGGTGGGCTTTCTAATCCGGCCTCAAATGTGCCAAATTATCTTCAATTATTATCGTTACTTAACGTATTTAATCCAGTATTCTACCGACCCACCAGTCAGATTTTGGCCTGTGAGCCAAAAAGTCTGCCCACCCCTGGTCGAGATAGATACTACAGCATGTGTAAACGTCCGAATGTCTGTTTGTGCGAGCAGGAGGAGAAGGTTGTTTGAATCTGTCCGACCTCTGGATCTCTCAGGTGAGCGTGCAGCACATCTGGACAGAGGACAGTGAACGAAGATCACAGGTGTTGGTTGGCCGCTGGACGGGGCGTGGCCACGAATGATGTCATACGATGACGACGGCCAAATTAGTTATTTGTACACGTAGGATTAAATGAATTATTTAATTATCACTGGATTAGGAGAAGATATTTATTAAATGAATTATTTAACTATCACTGGATTAGGAGAAGATATTTATCTTATTACAGATGCCCAAAGTCCTTTTTTTGTATTTTCTGAGTTGTTTTTTTTCCTCCTCTTTTCTCTGATTATTCCTCTCCACCTTAATCAGCTTCTTCTCTCTAAGACCCATCCAAACGAGATCAGAGAGACCGAGATGAAAATTAAGGGGGAAGAGCCAGGTTTCTTCAACGCCGTCACTTTGTTAAAGTTGTGCTTCACTGAAACGATGCCACGGGGGGAAAAAAAAGCTCTGAGTTCACACAGATGTGACAGACACCGAGGACACCACTGGACAAAAGGTCTTTTCAACTATGAATGTCCATCAATTAAAAGTAACCAACCAGTGAACGGACGCTGGTGATAAATACTAATTCAAATTAAATGAGACACCAAACAACAGAGGATCTGAACGTTGATCAGACTTAATAACTGCCAACACTATAATAATTAAATCTGCTGCTGATGATTATTATCCCCACAGTGAAGTCGACTGAGGTTTTCATAAAGTCATTAGACCTAATTAGACACAAATCAAACGAATCTTCTGGTTAAATTATAATATAAAAATAAACATTAAACCAGTTTCATCTGTATGATTAAAACACGGCACGTCATTGGTTGAGAATGATGGTGAGGTATTAGCAAGAAAAGAAAAAGGATTTTATTAAAACGTGAACACGTGTACAAGGATGGAGGGAGGAGGGAGGAGAGAGGAGGGAGGAGGCAATAAAGGAGAGGAGA